AGTAAAGGGTCATACAAATATTATAATGACAATATGTGATTATTCAAAATATGGGAAAGCTTCTCATTGTTCAAGCATGTTTTCTGGGTTCTATTCCTGGACTCCAAAGAGATAAGTGGAAAACATTGCCTTATATAAATGGTGGACTCAACCTCTTCCAGCCAAATGAGCTGTTTTCTGTTCACTCAGGAAGCAGTACAAGGAGGGACCACCTCAGCCAAATCTGGGCAGCAGAGGGGCTGAGATACTAAGGATCAATAGTCCAGAAGTAAAGCCTCTTAAACACTACAGTCTGATGTTTTTTCACAGGGAATTTGATTTTTTTTTTTTTTTCCCTCAAGAACTGAGCAAATCCCTGTGTTACTGATGATACAGCACAGAAATGATTCTTTGGAGCTTGGTCCACAAAAAGTTGGATAACTATTCTTTTGGATAAGTTTCCAGTTATGAAACATTACAATGCAGAAAGTGAGGCACAGAGCACATGAAACACTGAGCTAAAAACGCCCAGGAAAGCAGATACAGAGACGGAGGTGATAAAACAATTCAACTAAAACCTACGTAGCCAGGCTCCTGCTGTTTCCAGTGGCTTGAGGTATGAAAAACCTCTGAGAGGAGAAAGGAACTCTCTCTTCCTTCTCGAATGTATTTATTCAGTTTAGTAAGCCGAGCATCCTACTACAGAAAACCTCCAAATGGTTGAAGAACATAAAGCTGTGAGGGGAGGTAAACATCTGAGAACCATGTCAAATCCCTCCCCAAGTGCCCATCGCCAGGTGTTATCTGAGAACTGGTTGGCAACAATAACCACCAAAGGATGTTACTGATGGGCTTTGTGGAAGTGTGATAATGAGCTGTAGATAAGAGGTGTGGGGACAGCTGTTAGTAGACACCAGGCTGGGGTGGGCATGGTACTGAATGTTAAATACAATTCCAGAATTTTTTATTAGCGACAGAACAAGTTCAGATTTTACACTGAGACTATGTGGTCCTTTTATTAAACGTTAACCAGGAAAAAAAATATTTTAATTTTCTTCCCTCTCCATTTCTTTTCTCCTGACTTTTGCATTTCTCTCTTTTGAACAATGACCCATCTACCTTCAATTAGTTGGAAAATTCTCTAACTTTGAGTCTCCCAACAGGATTAGACCTGCTAAGAGTAACTAGTGTTTTCTATCTGATAAATAAGGGGATTACAGCAATAACTGCTGTCAGCATTTTTCTCATTTAAACAAATAAAGCTGACAAATGATGAAGTTCTGTGCTGCTCTGTTATGTTTAGTACATGCAGAGCAATTATTCATCGGCTGCCAACATTAGTCTATCTACAACTAAACCATCCAACAGCGTAGAAAGCTTATTAGCATATCAGTACCATAGTCATATTTTTATATTCTGTAAGACTCTACTCCATAACAAAAGCTGATGGGTATAATTTGCACAATAATTTAAAGGGTTGGACTTTTCCATGCTTATTAAAGTTATGCAAGTTATCGGGTACAATGCAACTCTTATTTATGAGATGCCATCTTTTATTTGCTTGGAATTTTTGTGCCGCTATAGCATTTCCTAGAACAAGTTAGCTGCCATCTATGGAGGTGGAGAAGTAGATGACTGTCTCTGCTTGCAGCAAGGGAGGATAAACTTCAGTGGAGTGGGGGAGAGGACGGGGGAGTGCTTTCTTTAAATAGAGGTGGTTTTCTTAGCTGTTTCTCCTGTGTGGTTATGGACATATACAAACCTACCTATGTGTATGTACATACACACTCATATACATATGTAAGTATTTGTGTGAGTGTTTCTAATAAGGGAAATGAGAATTTAAGAACGAATGTACCGTTTTCAAAAAAAAGTCAACTTATTCTAATAGTTCTTGTGTTATATTAATGAAAATATAATAGATACAAAGTATTCATAATTTTCCAAGTGTTCTAAAAGGGACAGTGACAAAACTAAAGACCTCATGTAAGAAGAAGGCCTAATCCAGACAGATGATATACTTTTTATAGGATGGTCATGTTGCTTGCAGCCTACCATCTTCATGCTACTTATAGCAAAATATATACCAAGCTTGAGAGCAGTTGTTTTATTCATTTTGTTTTCTGATCCCGTAGGGAACTCTCGGAGCCATTTTGAGGTGGTATATTTGTTTTCATTTCCAACTTAGAGGAAATTGGTAGCTTAAATATAAGACGGAAAATGAAAAAAAAAAAAAAAAAAAAAAGGAGGGTTCTTCATTAGCTTGAACACATTTTTGTCCTTTCAAGATTATAGCACACTTCTTTGGGTAGACGCTGCTTCCCAAAGTGTTGATATATTCTGTCTCAAAGGTCTCCCTGTCCTGCAGATGTGGCCAAGTGTCCTTGCCCTCTACTTTCATTTTTCTTTTCTTTTTTTTTTTTTTAAGTGCTAGATACTGAGCCCATGGCTTTGTGCATGCTAGGCAAGCATTTTAATACTGAGCTCTTTGAGTGCAAGGAAATAAAAAAGCAGCAACAACAATAACAATAACAACATCACCTCCAAAGGTTCTTTCCTTCTTTTCAGTGGAAGAAATGGCTTTCAAAACTGTCATATCTCTGACGAGGAAAATGCACTACTTGTGCACTTTCCATTTCAAAGAGGGAAAATGAGAATTATCAAGTGGCCATCAGGATGAGTTTCTGTGTGTGGGTACCTCCTACAAATATAGAAAGTTTACCTCAAATTGCACAGGGTGATTTACGTGGCCATAACTGTCTCTAATCACACACTATGAATAGCATATTATTGGTTGGATGGAAAGGCTGTCTCCCCCGCCTGACTAATCCATTCTTGTTCTTTAATACCCAAGACAAGATCATGTTCCACCTCTTCCACTGGGAGTCCTTGGCTAATTTTGATCATACTGATGCTTCTGGCCCTTGCATTCTTTGTGACACTTAAAGAGAAAGTATAGGCAATATGTTTGACAGCTTTTTGTCACTACTTCAAAACACCTGAGATAAACACCTTAGAGAAGGCAAGTTTTATTTTGGCTCACAGTTCCAGAGTTTTCAGTCCATGGTTGACTGACTGCATTGGTCCTGAGGTGATACTGAACATCAGAGTGCAAGGGTGTGTCCCAGGAAAGCTGCTCAGCTTATACCAAACAGGAAACAGAGGCGGGGGGCTCATGGACAACATATTCTTCCAGAGCACACCTCCCTTGCTACCTGCCACTCCCCGCCTGTGAACTACATCCTCAACTCAGTTCCACCTTTTAGAGTTTCCACTACCTCCTAATTATGTCATCAAATTATTAACACATCAATGGCTTACTCCATTGATGAGGTTAGGGCCCTCATAATCCAATCATTTTCCAAGAGCTCCATTCCGAACTTTACTGCCCTGGGGACCAAGCCTTCAACACATGAGCCTTTGGGTAACATTTCAGGTCCAAACCATAACAGGTACTTAACCCTCTTAAGCCATTCTGTTCCATAATGCCCGATGGAACAAATGCCATGTGGAACACCTATAAAAACTTAAATTGAGCAATGCATATGCCACTTATATTAACAATATGTTTGAAACAATTCATGTATTTAAAGGTATATTTGCTTACTAATAGGTAAATGAGTAAAACATTTGAAAATATGTATTTTCATCCATATGAAACAAATATATATGATATATAAATTAAAATACCTATGTCATGGACATAGTCACAGAATGGAAAACTTGGAAATTAGTGGGTTAATTTTTCTTTAAATATTTCATGTGTTAGTCTTATTTCCATAATTAAGAAGAAGTATTTAAAATATAGATATAGCATTGAATTGTGTAGAGCCACCTGAACATAGGGCCAGTCCAGTGGAAGGCAGAAGCAGGGTTAAACACCAGGTCCTCCAGTTACAAGCTATGAGTGTGGACAGAGGACTCAGCCTAAGTCATATTGCTCTCATCTGCTGCATAGGTCCACAGTAGCATTCACTGGCTCTGTGTTATGGAAATGTAAGTGAAGAGGTTTCAACTGAGCAGGACACTGGGCACATACACAGAGTGCAGTAAGCCTGGCTACTCTTCTCCCATGCTGCCCATCCTAGAGCCAGGCACAGGAACAGTGAATCTCTTCTGGACAGAAAGGACACATTCACTGTAAAGTCAGCTACCTTGTTGGTGATGAAGAGGAATGTCCTCTTTCATCTTTGGTGATCAATGAAGGTGACCATTCTTCCCAAAGAAAGGAAGGCTGATAGACTTTTGTCAGAGTTATGGAAGATGCTTCACTACCCAGTTAGAAATATACCAAGCAAATTTTCTAACTATTTGAATTAGAAAGCAAAATCACAAAAATCCCATTAAAAGTTTAAGGTCTTAATAGCTCTTCCCAGTTTGTAGATGTAGCCATAGATATGCCCCTTCATATCATTGAGATGAGGGTTTTCCTGGGTTCTTCTTGGTTTGCGTTTCTGCCTAACCTTTCTTTGGATCCCATTGGTTCAGTTGTCCTGAGCTTTTGAAGCCAGTGTTCTGGCCCTTCCTTGAACCCCCTTCCTGTTCACCTCATCCTGCACATGTTCTTATTCTCTTTCTTCTAAAGCCACACTGTTACAGTAGCACACCCAACTGTCAAACCCTGGGGCGTGGTGTTTAGAGGAACCTGAAACTGTTGTGTCTGAGATTGGTGTGCTGCGACCTCTTTAGATTCTATAATTCTAGCAATTAACTTTGGTGCTCTGTTCTTCATGGTAGATTTTATACCATGAAAGACAAAGACAAAGCACTAAGTCAAGGTACTATGAAAACTACTGCATTATAGTGGAGCCACATTGATAATACTTTACACTTGTGCTTACAGCCTACTCAGCTGGTGGAATTTAATTAGCAGTAATATATTATTGTCAAAGTAATTAAAACCTTGCCTTGATTAAAAACAGAATTGTTTAATTAAAAAGGAAAGGTTTGGCTAACCTTAACTTTCAATTTGAGAAACACAGTAGCCTCAGCTGATAGTCTCTCTCTCTCTCCCCCATCAGGATTGAAGGTCCGGGAGGTGTTCATCAATGTCACCAGGCAGCAGGTAGAGGACTTCCACGGGCCAGAGGACTACTGGTGCCAGTGTGTGGCATGGAGCCACCTGGGTACCTCCAAGAGCAGGAAGGCCTCTGTGCGCATAGCCTGTAAGTATATTCTGTTTGACCTTGTCCTGTAGGAACATGGACAGGAGTTAAATAGAGCTCAGAGGGCTTTGGAGATATTACATGCTTCTACAGAATATAAATCAGGGGACACAAGAACCCATTGGAACTGTCTTTATCTCTTCTAAATTTACTGTTTTAAATTTGTATTTTAAATGTTTGATTATTTCCTCCAGAGGACAATCAGCAAAATCAGTTTGTCTAAGACATTCTGCCTCAATCGTCAGAATGCAGGTGTCTCAACAATGCCAGGAAAAACTCTTCCTGAGAGAAACCCACGCAAATGGATTCTGCTGCTCGCCATCAATGACAAAGTTCAGAGGGCATTGATGGGAAAAGTTGAGCAATGACTGTTTACTGTGCTTTCCAGCAAATCTGCAAAGATAAGACATTAAAGACATTAAGGGATTTTTATAGCCTACTGTTAAATCTCTTCTCTCTGAATCTTAAAACATGGAAATGGGTCTTGAAACTGCATTTATTTGACCCAAGTAGGTCTAAAAAAAAGCAAAGAAAGAAAGAAAGAAAAATGCACACTTGAAAAATAATACATAAGAAAGAAAGAAAATATAATCTAAAAAAAAAAAAAGATTTATAAATATGCAATCTTCTTTTCTCCTTCTTTAAAATGTCTTCAACCCACCCAGTCCCATTATCCCACCTCTTTGGATCCCCATAAACCAACACTGTTTGCCCAGTAATAGAAAAGCCCTTTCAGAAAGAAACTGGGCGGTGGAGGACAGAGATGATTGTTGTTTTATTCAAATGCGTCTTTTGAGAGTACTATAAAGAATACAGGACAAGAGGGATTTATCTGAGAACTCAAGGAATTCTTCATAACAGATGTTGATGGTTTAGAGATTAAGAAGAGGAGTGGATTGCTATTTGCAGAGACATTTACATGTCCTGGGAAATGAAAGCTTCCTCTTAAAAATAGGCATCACCTTCATTGTGCTGGCAATTTAGAAGGTCTCTCCTGGATGTTGCCTGGGCCACAGAGGAAAACTTTATTTTTTTAAATTTTATTTTCTCAGGGGAAAACTTTACTTTTGCTTACAAAAGGAAGAGAGGTCACCTCCTATTCTGCTTTCTAAGTGAGAACCATGGGGAATATTTTTCCTATAGTTATTTAGTTACTTGACTTTAGCCAACCAATATTTTATGGCCTTAAAGTAGCAGGCCAGCTGAGAGAAGGCGTATGTTTGCATTTACTTTCCCATAACAAGTCCAAGTCTGAGCTCCCCCAACATGGTCTCAGTCAGGACAGCCAAGGCATTCAGTTTTAGTCAAGCCAAAGCAGATACTCACTGGGCTCTCTCCAAACAGAGGAGGTGAAGCAGCTTGAGGGGTTTCAACATAGGCTTCCTCAGTTTCTTTGTTCTTAGCCTTAATTTTCCTTTTCTATTTTTTTTTTTTTTAATTTTGCTTCTCTGAAGCCCACGTGATCTGTCACCTATTCTTTGAACTACTATAAATAGCCTGATCCATCTGCCTCTGGTCTCTTTTTCCTTTGTATTTGCTCCCTTAGTTCTTGATTGCCACAGTTTGCTAGAAACTGCCAGGAGTTTTCTCAGGGGAAAACTTTATTTTTGTTTACAAAGATTGGCAGAGAATGGTTCAACCTACCTCTTTTTCCTATGACTTTGTATATACTGTACTTGGTCCTTACAGATCCAGTGTTCTGCATGTCACTTTCAACTGACTGACATGTGACTTCCCTCCTGGGATCTCTGGTTTCACATGGGTGTTTACATGATGGCAAGGAACTGACTTGAGTCCTGTTGGTTTCCATTGGCAGCTTTGCCGCTTTTTTGTTCTGTGGTGATCCACACTTTATTTCACCCTACTGTATCTTTAGTGTCTTCATTCATGAATGTGTGCCTACTTCATAGTCATTGCAAGAGTTAAAGGTGTCGGTAATTATAAAGTGTTTAAAACTGTGCCTAGCAGAGAGCTAGCACTCATTCTCATTGGGGCTATTTTATGACATGTCTGATTCTCCATAGAATCAGCGTCTTTCACCTGAAACTCTGTGAATCCTTGCTGTAATTGAATGAAAATTTTAGTGCCTTCATACTTTTTCTTCAGATTATGGATATTTACAAAAATCCATTCTAGATCAGCTCTTGGTATTCCACTCTTCCAGGCATGGTAGAATCAAAGAATGCTAAGGATGGAAAATGCATTTTTTATTCTGTCACTTTCCACATTTTTAGAGTTGTGAAATACTTTCATGGCAAGATTTTGCAAATCTCTCCAATGATTAAAAAAAATCATTTTGCCATTCTTGTATATAATATACACATATGTGTATGACAGAGGTGTAAATTTTAAGTAAAATATTTATCAGAATATTATTAAAACCTATATTGTGCATTCACTTAATGTATTCTCAAATAACCTTTGCAAAATGTTTTTAATTTCTTCATATGTAGCAAGTGAGAGGTTTTTTAATTTATTTAAAATTATTTATGCAAGTCAAGACATGATTTGTCATTAAATATTGCATTTGACTTGGGGACCAATGTACATTAAAATGTAAATTGAAATTTAACTAGAGTAATGGCATCAAAAGTTGGGAGGGGGAACCTGCCTTCAGGACCTTACTTGAAATTTTTTCTCTTTGCTTACAGGAAAAACAACATCCACTTTAAAAAAGCATAATTTTTATGTTTTATTAGCATAAGAGAGAAGATTTCTAGCATTTATTTGTAAGCATTTCCAGAAAATAGCACACTGTATATGTGGGTAGATTTTACTCCCAGTAATGAAAAGCTGACTTGGATATAATTGTCACTATGTTTCTTCATATTAAATTGTGTTTTTTTTTTTTTAAATTCCACAGACAACTTAATATGCTAAATAAGGATTTTGATAGATGAATGTAGCTTATGAATCTGGTGACAATTATCTTGAGGGGACTTTTCAAAATTAGTCTCATTTTTATATTACTCATTAAATTATTCTTGCTCAACATTAGAGCTCCTTATGCTTCCTACATTTAACCAATGATCCATTAAGAATTTAACAATTTGAAAATTGCAGTGGGCAAAACCTCCATGGCAACTGGTACATTCAGCTGAAGGATGTGTTGACATGAGTGTCTTGACATGATCACGTTTGTGAATTTATGAAAACACCAGGAAGCTTACTGGATGGTGTTCCTTAGAAATGATTTCATTTTAAAGAGAAGCTGTACAAACAAAATTACTTATTTATATGGCTCATTTATTCATTGAAATGGACACCCCTGGGGTACTAGTTAAATACAGAGTCCTGACTTCCACCCCAGACCTTTTGGATCAAACTCTGGAGGAAGGGCCAGGAAAGCTGTTTGTATTCAGTTAACCAGGTGATTCTGTGATCAGCTGTCTCTGGAATGTCTGAGCTAGAAGCAGTTTTTCTCAAACTATAACATGCATACAAATCTCCCATTTATCATCATATTATATGTGTTTGTCATTTGACATGTTTCAAAAAATTAGGTGACCTGTCCAGAGGGGTCACCTAGCTAATGGCAGACATGGAACCTCATCTGTCCTTGCACCACACCCCCCTTGAGTGCTTTTGCTACTGAGCCATGTGGATTTTTTTCTGTTAAATGGGAGTTTGAGAACCATAGTATAAAAGTTCACATGCTTTTAAGTGTTTTTTTTTTTTTGTTGTTGTTTGTTTGTTTTTTTTAGGAAAGCATTGATTGCTTTCTTATTTTAAAAGTCAATTGCATTCTTCCTCATGGTCAAATTCTAATGTGTGTATAAACACTTTGTTTTAGGAGCCAAGGTGCCTGCCATTTTAACTTTTTTCCTTAATTATTCCACCCTATATCATAAAGAGGTTATTGTCCCATCCAACTGCCCTGGGCTGGGAATAGCTTGAGGCTATATAAAAATGGTTTTATAAAGGTAAAAATAAATAAATAATGCCAACCCACATTTACCCACACAAAGCTGGCAGAAGTCTGTCTCCAGGGAACGACTCCCACGGGCCCACTCCCGTTTGTCTGGTTCAGCTGAGCTGGAGGTAGACAGGCATGCTATGGCATCTGCTACTTCTGCTGCTGGGTGCTTGTCAAAACCAGGAATTTTCAGTTATTCGTAGTTGTTTATTTTCATGGATGAACATTTGGCGACTTAGCCCTTTCTTTTACCCCTCCCCCCCCTTTTTTTTCTTTTTCCTGTCTTCTTTATCTACTTATAAAATGTTCTGTGTGCAGCATAAACCCTTGGGCAATCCAGCCCTTCTTGACACTGGGCTTTTTATTTATTTTTTGCCTGCAATGGGAGTTGGGACTGAGAAGGAGGCTTTGTGTCTTACAGTCAAGCCAGTTATAGCAAGTTGGCCACTTGCAAGAAAACACAGCAGGAAACTACTACTTTGTTGATTAAAAAAAAAAAAACTATAAAATTTGATACATGCTGAATAAAATTTAAATATGCTTCTTATTTGAGATAATCCTAAAATATCCATGCAGTTGTGCCAAGAATGAATGAAGAAATTAGAAGAGAGTCTCATTTAAAAGCTTTGAAACTCCCTACTTTTACATGCCCATAGTAAAAGTAGGATTATTTTCATTTGCTTGTTTTTGGGGTAGAGTCTTTCAAAATGTAGAAAGAAAGGCATCCGATAAAGCTTTGCTTTTAGATCTCAGGTTCATGGACTTGGTAACAAATTTTATCTGCTAGGAACTGCCAGTGGTCCACTCCTCCATCCTGAAAATTAAATATAAAAACGAACAAATATAGGTACATATATCTGGCATTCAGATTCAGCTTTAACCTACTCTTTCAGACTCCTCTCCTATGACATCTTTACACGTGTGCTGTGTTCCACCTGAGTGGAATAACAGAATTGCTTAGATTCTGGAATGTGGGGCTTGCTTTGTCCTTCCTTGCTTTACCAATATTTTTTCCTCCCTGGAGCATGTCCACAATCCCAACTCTCACCCATATCTTCCTCCCTAATTCCTATATCCAGTGCCC